CGCCGGGAGTGGCCGTCAGCCGCGGAGGGCAGGGCGCAGCCCACTGAGGGACAGGGTGTAGCTCGATAGATCAGCCCACTGTGCTGCATAACAGCCGTAGAGATCAGCCCACTGTGCGGCACGGCAGCCCTTCATGTCAGCTCATGGAAAGGCAGGGCGCAGATCGAGAAGGTATCTGACGGAGGGCGCGGCATAGCACGGCAGCCCGGGAGGTCATCCCACGGAGGGGCAGGGTGCAGCTCGAGAGGTCATTCCACGGAGGGGCAGGGCAGCTCGGAAGATCAGCCCACTGAGCTGCAAAGCAGCCCTAGTGGTCAACCTAAGATGGGGAGGGACACGGAAGCCAGAGAGGCTACCGACGGAGGGACAGGCTACAGTCCAGGAGGACAACTCACGTTACAGCCCGGGAAGCCAGCCCACGGAGGGCGCGACATCAAAGCAACCGGTCTCGGCAGTGGAGAGACGCGTCAGGCAGGGTCAGCCTCGCACCAGTTGTGAATGTAATGAATGCGCTGCCGAGGACCAATAGACGGTCTCTGGCATCCATGGAATTGTTATTGGACAATGGTGTGAGCGGCGAGATGGGATTTCCAGACTTTTGGGAATCCGTCCCTTGAAATCGCATTATCGTGCGTTAGTCTTTACAAGGTGTCAATGCACCCTCCTCCGAAGGTGCATTAGGTATCTAGCGTCGATATCTCGCATAAGTAGGTACCCATTGCAAAAAATCTAACTCGCGAATCGATTTTGTGGATAGTGTCCTCTTTCTTTGGCTCATCTAAAACGGTGCCTACAGATCTGTTGGCGTACACGTCTGAAATGGCGTGACACGAAATAGCTTTGCGCAGCCGGAGCGCCATCTAAAAGCCGATTCATCACCGACATGACATGGCCGATGGCCACATTCCGGTGTTCGGGTCAGACCTGGGCTTCTCGGGGATCGGCCGCTATCAGTGAAATAACTTTCCATTGGGAAGGACCCGAAGGAGTGTGACTTGCTACCGGCTAAACCATCTCCGATTTTTGTCGAATTCAGCTGTTCCAGTGTGTCCAACGACCGTTCCTATGTGCTGTATGCGTAATTACAGGTATTTTTGTGTGCTGCTGACCATGGACCAGCAGCAAAACAGCCTCAATACAGCTTGTGTATATAGGTGAAAAGCTACGAAACGGTCTCATTCCGGCTGTGCATAATGGCGGAAAGATTCGCTGACATCGGTCATCGAGGCCCCATTGTAGGGAGAGCCACTTTATCTCTTGGCATCATGAGCCCCCCCCCCCCCCCCCCCCACTCCCCAGCCCTTGAAGCCTCATCTAGCCTCACTGCGGCAGCCCCGGTCGCAACCGGTCGCCGCGCGTTGAGTGGGGAGACTGCGACGGGTCACAAGCAGCTAACCCGCTGGCCGCGGTCAGCTGATGGAGACTGCAGCGCAGCAGCGGTGGCTAGCACCAGCGGCGCCCGGCTCCGTCCTGTGGGATAACTTGCGTTTCGAATGACAGCATCTAGAATCTAGATACAATAATTACGGAGCGAGCGAAGCGAGCGTAGTCTTTCCTTAGATTAACGGAAATTTCTTAGTATGAGCGGCCGGCCGGCCGGCCGGCGCTTTTGCGAGGCTTATATCTCAGCAACCACTTGACCGATTTACACGGGGTTATTTTTGTAGGGTAGCTTCATTCCTTCTACCAAGTATTGGACTATTCCCGATGCATGTGGGTGACCCCTTATGCACGTGCCACGCGCAAAACGAAGAGGTGTCAGTTTTGTAATTGTTGCAATATCTCGGTAACTACTTGGCCGATTGCGCTGAAAGTTGGCATGTAGGTAGGCACCCACTAGGCACTGCATATCCATGTGCCAGAGTTGGGGTGCTGCTGCACGTGCGCACGTGCAGGGGTCGTTTCCAGATCTCGAGAACGGCTGGACCGATGGCGCTCAAATTTGGTACACGGTTAGGGACCAGTTAGTAGGGTGCCGTGCACAAGTCAGTTGGGACCCATTCTGCACGTGCGCACGTGCAGGGTGCCGCTTCCAGATCTCGAGAACGGCTGGGCCGATTGTGCTCAAATTTGGCACATCGCTAGAGACCGGTTAGTAGGGTGCCGTGCACAAGTCAGTTGGAGGTACCCCCTCGAAATTTCGCACGTGCAAGGCTCACCCTCTCGCTCGCTCCGTTAGTCGCCCCAAAAGGCGCTATACTGGTAATATGATATGCAATATGGATTATGCACATGCAACCCTAGGGAAGCAAAAAAGGAGTTTGATTGGGCTCAGCCAATCGCGTCATTCTGGCTATTACGGTTATCGGCCTTTACCAAACATAAACAGTAAACACGCAAGAAATATTGACATGCGTGACATGCTCAGCATGCTCTTCGTATTGGATTGGATATAGCTTCCGCCGGTGGTGTTCTCTGTGCTCAATACTACGTTGATAATGGTTGCAGCCGCGGCTGGATGTCCAACTACCGGGGCGGGGGCCGGCGAGCCGGCTCCCAGGCGGCTACATCCGAAGATGCGCGCACACCCATCGCCTGGCAGCACCGGGACATGAACTACCACCAGCACCAGAGCTACAGCGACCGGCACCGGTCCGGTGAGTACAGACAACTCTGCTTGTCCCTGCCGGTTTAGGTTAGAGCTCCCAGTTTCAACAGCTCTCGCGATTTTCGAGTACCGCATACCGTCCGCGAATTTAGACATACTAATCCTTCTCCTTCGATTTTCAATTCAACTGTCTAGCAAGCTCTGCTTAGCGAAAGTTTTAACCTAGTGGACCTGTCACTCGGAAGTCGGAGCCAACAATAAATGAGATAGGTAGTCTTAACTATAAATCGTCATCACCTGACGGTATTTTACAATTCAGACCCAGCTTTAACCACATGATTCACGCAGTTGTTCATTCATCCTGCCATTGACCTGGACCGACCGAGCTGACCTGCGGCATCCTGCGCCATCGGCAGAGTCGGCGAGCCGCCGCGGCCCGGGCTCCGTCTCTGACCAGACGTCACACACGGAGCGGCCACCGCGCCAGGCGGCGCCGGTGGCCTACCGGGGTCGGCCGCCGCCCCAGGAGACGGACGCCTCCACCTCGGCCTCCTCCGAGTGCTCCAGCGACACAAAGGTCACCATTCACGACCGACACCGGTGAGTCGGGACGGCAGGCGTGAAAGATGACGGGTTACAGCATTAGTTGACATGCTTTTGACCAATGTTACGCGCGGTGATAACATTAAAATGTAACTGGCACTTTTTAAAATGCACCCACTCTTATTTAAAGCCGGTGTTTAATTTAATATGTTGGAGGCTTTGCAATTCATTCCAACAAGTGAAAAGTCAGTCTCAAGGTGGCCGTGTCTGCGCCAAAGGCAAAGCTGGTCGCGCGACGCTGGCGCCATTCGGCCGGTGTGGGAAGTTTGTTTTTGTCCCGTACGCACGTGAGACGGTTCGCTGTTAATCGTCCCCGGTCCTTACCGGGCCCACCACGGACCTCCCCTCGGGGTCCGCCTGGGGCGGATCTGACGGACGTGAGGGTCCGCGTGGGCCTAAATGGACACAAACAGGTGGAGACGCCGCTGTTAGGTGCGATTAGAACCCGTCGCCGGGCTGAAAACTTTCCGTTCTTTCCCTTGTATGCTCCCCGACATCGCCTTTCAACGCTATGCCCGGAGGTAATAGGTGTTTGCAACTTACGACCAACGGTATATAAGAGCGGTATTTACGTGTAGGAGCGGTATTTATGTGCCACTGTTGCTGACGACGTGTTCGTATTGTCCGACAGGGGCCCGGCCGTGCAGCTGGTGCCGTTGGCTGGCGGCGGCGGCCCGCCCACCATCCGCTCGGCGCAGTCTGTGCCGCTGCTGCTGGGGCCGCCGGGCGCCGGGATCACCTGGGACGGGGAGCCGTGTCCGGTGCACCACCACGGCCCGCCTCCGCCGCCGCTGGCCGTCGGGCCCATGTCACTGCCGCCGCCGCCGCGCACCGCCAGCCTGTACGAGCTGCGCGTGGGCACGCCGCACTCGGCGTACGCTCCCGACGCGCCGCTCACCACTATGACGGTCGACCGGAAGGGCCGGCCGGCGCCGCCCGGCTCGGCGCTCGGCAGACCCATGATGCCTCCCGGCCTCATGCCTCCCATGATGAGACCGCGGCCGATCGTGCGAGCAGAGAACGGCGCGGCGCGCGAGCTGCCCGTCCGCGACCCTCGCAAGGCGTCCCTGGTACCGCCGTCCGAGCCGCCGCCGCAGCGGAAAGAACCGGTGAAGTGTGGCGGATTCAAAAAGGTGATGCTCATTTCGCTTTCCGTAATCGTCCTGGGCGTGATTCTAGCGGTAGCGCTCATATTTATCACCAAGTGAGTGGACTGGGAGGGCGGTGGTCCGCGGCGAACCGTAAAGAGCGCCCCGAGCAGTTGTTTCCTGAGCCAGGTCGCTGCCGACGACGGCCCGAGGGTGAGATGTCCAAAGAAATATAACTCAACTATGGGACCAGTGGTCGGGTCAGTCGGATGCCGGAGTGCAGATGTTGCGGTGAGCCGTGGTGTCAGAGGGATCTGTGTTGTGCGTGTGTGTTTTCCGGGGATTAGCCGTGTCGCGATGTCCGGCGGTACGGTCAGACCAGCTGCAGTGCCGGCCCGAGCCTCCGGCAGGCAGCTAGACGCCCCACCGCGTGTGTGCATCGCTCGCGACTTCGTTTGTTGATAGTGAAATTGTCATCCGTCCATGAACACGCAGCCGTTCAATGTAAAAATCAACTGATGTGACTCAAATACACAGGAAATGGCATTCACTAACTGGCATTCATCGGCAATCATCGAATTGGCGTTGTCCTTTGTTGCGGTTGTTTCGTTCCAATCTTTTCTTTGTCCGAGATGCTCTTGATTCGAATTACGTCGACGGCATAAGGAAGTTTGCGATAGAAAAGGCACCGATATGTTAACTTAAAAACAGCAATATATCATGCGATAATTGACCGCGAATGTGTTCGAAGAAAGAGCTCAGCGTAACTTTCCGGGGAAGTGACTACAAAATGTTTGTATTGGCCCTCATCAGCTTTGGCGACATATCCCAAACACTTCCTTCGCTTCCATTACCGTGTCCCGTGTGAACCTCAGCCTCTGGGGCGCCACTGATGACACTGATTGGCGGAATACCAGCGGTGCAGGTCGTATCGGACGCCCACCTCAGCGCCGGCCGGGAGCTCGTGCAGCCGCCGGCACAGGCCGCACGTGAGCGGTCTCAGCGGGTGTGCGTTGACCACCCGGTGGTCAGCCTGCCATCGCAACAGCTCCCGGTAGGCGGTGTCGTTTCTGTCCAGGTAGAGTAGTAGCTCAGCCAACTCCCGAGGCTCGTACTGCAGAGCGTCGATGTAGCTGCCCTCTGGGGCCAGTGAGGAGTACTGTGCTCCACCGAAAACCACCGGCACTGTTCCTGCAGACGGAATACCAGGACCGACACCCATCAGTCAGTCTTGTTTTAGCCACCCGACTGGCCTAACAAAGGTTATGCTAAGTAATGGGTACATAACTATGTATATTATTGCATATAGACGTTCTAAGATCACTCCGCAAACATAGTTATATCGTAACTTTGTTCTAAAGCTCACCTAGAGCGAGAGTTCGAAAGAACTTTTCAGTGACGTAGTCTGGACAGAGGGTGTTCTCGAACGCCAGATAAAACTTGTAGTCGGTGATGGCCTGTTCACAGGGGAAGTTGGTGTGATTTCGCTGCTGCTGAACCGACTCGGAGCGGCCGCACTTGAGGGTGCCACAGCTGCCGTATATGTCCACCTGGGGACACACCAGTGACACGGGAGGTTAGCGGACTGTCTCAATCTGCGAACACGTCCAACTGTAGATACCGGTAACACGGGAGGTCAGCGGACTGTCTGAGCCTTCGGATACGTCCACCTGTGGACAGCAGTGACACGGGATATCAGCGGGTGCTATGGTTTGCTCGCATGTTGTTTGCCGTAAGCTGGTGCCCCGTTGGCGACCCGGGATATGGAGTAAGGTGAGTATTATACATACTTTTTTACAGTTTGCTCGTATATATCATACGTTTTCCGTCACCAGAACAGCGAATATGCGCTGCAGTGACACGATGGAGACGACCGATAGCCAGCAGATATGGTCCGCCCGTAAACGTTCGCCTCAAGAAGCGCCGTTCACCTGATTATGTCGGCGACAATTGAATGAGAGCGACTGTCGCGGTCCATCCGTTTACGGAAGGCTGGTGCTTAGGTACTAGCGAGAGCGACCTCCACTATATCCTTTCTTGGAACCTGCTTTGCTGTGGAAAGCATCATATAGGTAGAAAAAGTCCGTAAAAATATACATTAAAAAAATAAAGTAAAAATAGGTAACTCGCTCTTTATAAAGCTGAAGAGAATCCGTTCTAGAGAAACCCGTTCGCTATAAACGGTTATATGCTTCGGCACTGCTTCGGTTACCTATAAGAATATTCCATAATTATTTCGAATTTGAAACGGCGTTTAAACGTACCGAAACTTGACCATGCTCGTCTATCAATCCTACGGCCGGTATTCAAGGTTGCCTACTTCTCACACAAGCCGGCTATTTAGGGCCACTCACCTGAATATGCCGGCGCAGCTGGGCGACATAGCGTTCCCGTTTGCCGGGCGTGCGACAGTTGCTGACCATCCAGGCCACCAGTCGGCGTTTGACGGTCGGCGGAGGGTAGCGGGCGAACGCGGGTTGCCGGGGCAGCACGGCACTGACGGCCCGGGGCAGCCGGCCGGGCGGCAGGACCAGGCCGTACGGCACGGCCACGTCGCTGTCCCAGCGGTACGTCATGGTCCAGTTGAACAGGCCGTTCAGCCGGGCCAGGCGGCGCCGGCGCACCAGCGGGTAGCCGGGCGACTCGAGACAGAACAGCACCCACAGCTGGCCGGCCGGCCGCCGCCGCGGCAGATCCTCCAGCTGGACGTCCAGCAGGTGGAACAGCACGGCGTCCGCGGAGTCCAGCTGCTCCCGGTCGTGTGTCAGAGTGCAGCCCGACACCGGACAGCCGCCCGACACCGTGTCATAAAACAGCAGCTCCCACGGATCGGGGCTGCCGTAAAATGTCGTCCAAAGCAATATCGTCTTATTTCTTGGTGACTTACTTTCACTTATAAAGGTGTTTTCGCTATGGTCACTGAGATGCCTGTGCTGCATTTGGGATAAAATAAAATGTCTCGTATCAAAAGTTGGTCGGCACATGTACAATATCGACGGTACTAAAAGAACAACTAGAAAGATGAAATATGTCATTCCTCTTCTTTGTCTTGGTTGGACGGCATGTTGCACCAGGGCCATGCTGACTGGTGTCGATTCTGCCGAACGAAAGCGATAATCAGATTGTCATTAAGAGACTAAGTCCTTAAAAAGAAATGCCTACCAATCATCATTGAAAGAATATCAGTCTCGTTGAGATATATTTATCAATCGCCTTTCACCCGTTTAAATACCTGATGAATGGCGAAACGTCTTACATCTTTAGTTTATTCAAGAAGAGCACCATCCCGCCATTACATTAAAAAATATCCGTTCTGTGTCCTATGGCAAGTAATCGTAATTACAAGACTACAAGACTGGAATAGTTTATTAAGAACATAGCAAAAACGGCTTTCTAAGACAACGGGATTATCTGCACTTATGAAAACCTGAAACGCACCTTTCCGGATAGGCTGTCACTTGATGAATCTCGCTCCACGCAAGGCAGCCAAGAGCCGTCTCTTTTTGGTTCCACCAGCCACCAGGTATGGAGAATCTCCACGTGGTGCGACTCACGGCCATAGAGCACACGTCGCCGGTCCCCAGGGCAGCCGCCCGTCGTCTGGGTCCTGGGTAACACCGACGATGCCGACGGTGCTGACGCGACGACGCCGACGGTACCGACGGCAGGTGGCGACGCTCGGGGTGCCGACACCTGACACCTCCGTCGCATCGGAGTGCTTTCATCTTGCTGCCACACACCAACACCTGTGTGGGAAATGTAGAACGGCCGACACTGCATAAAATGACAGGTGGGGAGGGACGGAGGAGGGGGAGGGCGACATGCGGTGTTGCGTTCCGTGAAAAGTGAAATTGTACAAATCATGCTGATCGATAAACCCGTACATAAGTGTGATTGCGGAGAACGGTCGGTTGGGTCCATGTGGGAGACGGTCAGTGGGGTCAGTGGGGGACGGGCAGTGGGAGACGGTCAGTGGGAGACGGTCAGTGGGAGACGGTCAGTGGGGTCAGTGGCAGACGGTCAGTGAGAGACGGTCAGTGAGAGACGGTCAGTGGGAGACGGTCAGGGGGAGACGGTCAGGGGGAGACGGTCAGGGGGAGACGGTCAGTGGGAGACGGTCAGTGGGGTCGGTTGGAGACTGTAAATGGGAGACAGTCAGTGGGGTCAGTGGGGTCAGTCGGTGGGCCTGTTGAGGTTAGTGAGTTGTACAGACAGTCAGCATAGGTACATTTGATGTGGTTCGTTGTCGTGCGTTTTTTCCTTTTTAAGCGGTGAATCGATAAGACGTTCAAGAGAGTGAAACGGTGACCGGTGACGGTCGATGTCTGTTTGTCTAACTTTCGCTTGTGGTTTTGTCTACCTACCCAGCTAACAGGAAACGTTACTACAACGTTGTCACAACGTCGTGTTTCGGTAAGTTGCAAAATTACGTTTTAATTACGTTGTAGCAACGTTCTGAACGTTGTGAAGCCATGGTTTGGTCCGAAAGTCGTGGTAAAACGTCGTGACAACGTTTTATTGGTACGTTGCAGCAACCGCGCACTTGCAGCATTATATTTTGATAATGCATGGTGACATATATGGCCATATAATGCATTTCCTTTGACTTTCAATGCGCATATTCAGTTTTCATCGTTAAATTTACATATTTTAACACTTGGACTGTTCACGTTGTCAGCTGGTGGTCGCCAACACGTTGTTAAAACGGTTTTTCACAACCTTGACATTATAGGTACTGAATATTTAGCGGTGTTTTTACAAGTAAATTCTGATACCTTTCTCTCTCTATCTCTCTCTAATATATTAATATATATATATATATATATATATATATATATATATATATATATATATATATATATATATATATATATATATATATATATATATATATATATATATATATATATATATATATATATATATATATATATATATATATATATATAACATGTGTAAATTGCAAAGCGTCATTGGCATGTTTTGCAACATCACAGGCGGAGCTAGAGGCTTGCAACTATCCCTATGTAAACGCGGCTGTTATCCGCGGCTGCCAGCAAGCCACGCGGGCCGCCACTCAGGCGAACGGTGACTCGCGCCCTGACCTCGCCTGAGGGGCCGTGACGTCAGTGTCACCGGCCGGCGTTCAGAGCCAGCCGGCCGAGCCGCAGTCTACGCGGCGCGAGCGAGCAGTGAGGGCCGGCGGCGGGCGCGGCTGAGATAGCTGGAAGATGAAAGATAGCGCCAGTTGTCTGCGTTTGATGCGATTGTTGTTTTGACTGGTAAGTCAAAGTACCATTTACGAGTAGCATTTGCAAGATTGTGCCTTGTAATATCGTGCGGTCTAGGCTATAGTTCATTGTAGCTCTAGCCTCTAAGGTGTTGACATGTTTCAGTTTGATCTAGCCTGTCGCACTGTTACGGAAAGTGGTGCAGGTATTTTTGTGATTTTTTCATGAATTGAATGTCTGATTTCCCTCATGTCTTCCCGCAGACGTCCTGCAACTCGTCAGCGCGCTTGCGGCAGGCCTACTGTCGGCAATGCGGTAGCGAAGTGGCTGTCCGGAAGCTGCAACCGGAACGGGGTGTTATAACGTGAGCTCTTTATTCACAACCAAAGCCGCATTGCGTTAAACTTCCTAGAGCGCCAAACACCGATCGCTGCTACCACAACCGCGCTCCGCGCGGGCCGGCGGCCGACTCTCTCGAACCCCGCGTCTGCGCGCCGGCGCCGCCAATGGCGTCGCCAGGCCCCCGGGCAGGGGGGAGCAACTGGCGTCGCCAGGCCCCGGGGCAGGGGGGGAGCAGCTCGCGACACCACACCCTGCCGCCCTTAAAACGGAACACATTCACTTTGACTTGCCGCCCTTAAAACGGAACACATTTTAAACCGGAACGTGGAAACAAACACATTACGCGTCGGAACGTGGAAACAAACACATTACGCGTCGGAACGTGGAAACAAACACATTACGCGTCGGAACGTGGAAACAAACACATTTTAAACCTCGGCGATCAGTCGCCTCGGGCACCTCCGGCGCCGAGCGGAACGGCGTTGCGAGGGGCCCTCAGTGTCCCCGCCGCCCCTGCCGCCGCCGTCACCGCCACCGCCGGTGTGACTGTAGCCGCTGAGGTCACCGGTATCACCGCCGCCGCCGAGGTCACCGGCACTACCGCCGCTGCTGACGGCATCACCGCCGCCGCTGAGGTCACCGGCACTACCGCCGCCGCCGGGGTCACCAGCACGGCCGTAGCCACCGGGGTCACCGGCATCCCCGCCGCCGCCGAGATCACCGGCACGGCCGAGGCCGACTGCTCCCCGGTCACAGGCCTGACCGGCGACGCCGGCGCGGCTGCCGTCACCGAGGCCATTGGCGCGATCGTCTCCGACAGGGCGCCCGGCGCTGCCGCCGGCGCCACCAGCCCGGTCACCGCCGGTCGTCGCTCTGACGTCACCGCCGGTCGTCGCTCTGACGTCACCGCCGGTCGTCGCTCTGACGTCACCGCCGGTCGTCGCTCTGACGTCACCGCCGGTCGTCGCTCTGACGTCACCACTGGTCGCCGCTCGGACACTACCGCCGGTGGCCGCTCTGACGTCACCGCCGGCGCTGTTCCCTGGGTCCGCCGCCGCCGCCAACAGCTGGTCAACGTGGCGCGACCAGATCACGTGTCCCACGTCCACTTCATACGACACGGGACCGGGGCGGGCGACCACCGTGCCGCGGACCCACTTCTGACGACCGTCATACGAGCGGGCCCACACTGTAGCTCCCACGGCGAATTCCCTGCTCCGTCCGCCGGCCGTCTCACGCTGCCGGTCCCGAGCCGCCTGCAGAGCTGTCTCGGCGCTCGGAACCATGAGGTTCATACGAGTGCGGAGGTTCCGCCCGAACAGCATCTCAGCGGGAGTCCGTGCGGTCGCGGCGTGGGGCGTCACTCTGTACGCCATCAGAACTCGGGCGAGCGCCAGTTCCATGCCTCCGCTGTCGTCTGCTGCCAGAGTCGCCTTCAGTGAGTTTTTTAGCGAGCCGACCGCTCGCTCCGCCATCCCATTAGACGATGGGTGATGGGGCGCCACTCTGACATGTCGGATCCCGTTAGAGCTGGCGAACTGGGCGAATTCCTGGCTCGTGAACTGTGGGCCATTGTCCGTTACCAGCACCAGTGGTAGTCCGAGACGAGCAAAAACCGTCCTCATCACCGCTACGGTCCGCTCGGACGTGGTCGTCTTCATTGGGATCATTTCAGCCCACTTGGAGAAACTATCCACCATCACCAGGAACCAGGTGCCCTTCAGAGGTCCGGCAAAATCGGCATGCACCCGCTGCCACGGGCCGTCCGTCGGCTCCCACGGGTGCCGTGTCGCCTGCGGCGGCTCAGCTCGCTTTGAGACGCACGCCTGACACCCGCGAGCCAGCGCCTCCAGCTCAGCATCGAGTCCCGGCCACCACACAAAGCGCCTCGCCAGCTGCTTCATGCGAGTGCAGCCGAAGTGACCCTCATGCAGCTCCCGCTTGACGGTGTCGCGCAGGCTGCTCGGGATGACGACTCGGCCGCCCCAGAGCAGACAGTCGGCCTCAGTCGTCAGCTCCTCTCGGCGATTCTTGAAGGGAGCCAGGTCCGGGTCCACCACCGCCGGCCAGCCCGATCGCACCGCCGCCAGAGCGCGGGCGAGCGCCGGGTCTCGGCGCGTGGCCACTGCTATCTGCTGCGCGGTCAGACACGGCCCCTGCTCGGCGATGAACATTACGCCGCCTCCGCCGTACGCCGCCTCCTCTTCTGCCGACAGCCGGTTCTCCGCCTCGTCCGGCACCGACAGACGGGACATCGTGTCCGCCAGCCTCATGTCCTCCGTCCGGCGCAGCTCGATCTTGTA